AGCCGCGCCTGCAGCCCCGGGGCCCGGGGCACGGGCGGGTCTGGGGCGCGGGGTCCCCCGTGCTATCCGTCCGGCGCGCGGCCGGGATCCTTGCCAGGCTCCCGAGCTGCCCCCAGCTCCTCCACCCCCGACGGAAACTTTGGGGCGGGCTTGGACCGAGGCCGATGTTGTGGAATCGGATTTCCCTCCTGCGCCCCTCCGCCCTCGCGTTCTCCTCGAGGAGGGGGCGTGCTGGCCGGGGAAGCCAGATCCCCCACTACCCGAGCCCGGTCGCCGTCCGTAGTCGGCCGTTCGGGGTGGGCGAGGGTGCGGAGCGCGCCCCGCCTGGACCCCGTACCCCGCCGCCTCCTCGCCGCCCGAGCACCTCGCTCTGGGGGAGGGGGCTAGCGGCGCCTTCGAGTCCTCAGAGCACGCCGCGGGGTCCGGCCGGAGCTGGGGTGACGGCCTCGCGGTGGGGAAGTGTTGGGGGGACTATCGGGGGCGAGCGCGCCCCAGCCCCCCGCCTTGCCGGCGCTGGGGTTCCGGGCCGGCAGAGGGCGTCCGCAGCCGGGCTCGCCACGCTCCCGGCGCCGCCGCTTTGTTTGCATTCAAATCCCGGGGCTGGGGGAGGGGAGAACCGGGGGCACCCGGGATGGGGTCTTGGCGGGGACCCTTTGTTTTGGAGTGAGCAGGTTCCCCGTTTCTGCCTACCCTGCCCGAGGTGCGCGGGCTGGGGCAGTAGAAATAAATCTCGATGGCCTGCCCAGGCCAGGGTCCCCGGGGCGCTGTCGCCCAGTTGGAGAGGTTCCTAGGGGAGTGCAGGGGCGCCGGCCCAGCGCGCGCGGCCCGCGCGGACCCCCTCGAGCTCCCCACCCCTTCTCCGCCCTCCCCGTGCCCCGCCTGCCCGCGCCCAGCGCCGCGGGTGTGTGTGGGGGGGCACCCTGGATGAGACCCGAGCCTGCCCGCTGTCCCGCCGCCCGCAGCCCGAGGGCGAGTGTCTCCTAGAAGGCTGTGGGGGGACAGGATGAGGCCCTGGTCATTTCCACGCCCATCCCACCCACTTCCTGCCTCCCTCTTGGGCAACAAAGGGGCCTCGGGAAACTGGGCCCCTCAGGCTCCCGGCCCTGCTCCCGCCCCAGCCCTGCTGATGTGGAACGGGGTTTGGGGCTCTGCCGGGCCATTGTCTGCCCTGGGGGGAGGGGACCAGCAGGGACCAGGACCTGCTGCGCCGCGCCCCCGTGGGGGGCTTTGCCAACTCCCACCCCACCTCCCACCCCCGCATCCCTAGTTCTGGACCTGGCAGAATTAGATCTTGGGGCTGCGCACCCCAGTGGTTGCAGGTCTTGCTCCTTGAGGTTATTTTAAGAAAGTCCTGTACCTCTGTCAAAGCCCTGTGTGTGGGAGAGGGGTGTCCCTCCTTTTCTGTTTTTCCAAACAGCTTCCTGTAGAGGAGAGGGTGTAGGGTGGCCTTGAGGCCTTAGGGGTCTTCTTGATGTCGGTCCAGGCCTCCACCTGGCTCCGCGCCTCTCCCAGTGCGCGGGAGACTCCCCGGTCCTGCCGGGCGGAGGCCAGGTCTGGGGAGCTACCTCTTCTGCCAGAGAGGGGCAGGGCCAGTGGGGGTTCCCCGAGAGCCTGATCCAGCGTCTCCGCGTGGCCCCCTTCCGGGTTGTTTGCTGACCGCCTCTTTCCCTCGCCAGGGCTGCTGGCCTGGAGCTGAGAGCTGCGGCGAGTGCCATGGCCCCGTACTGGGCCGTCTGGCTGCTGGCAGCAGGGCTGTGCGGCCTGGGCATTGGGGCCGAGGTGTGGTGGAACCTTGTGCCCCGGAAGACAGTATCTTCTGGGGGTGAGTGCCTGAAGTTGGGGGGCAGGAGGGGCAGAGGGATGGAGGCTTGTTGGGGAGACAGGTTTCGGCTGCAGAGGAATTTCCCCAAGTGTCACTGGCCTCCTGGTGAGCTGTGTGGAGCTACTTTCTCGCGTCTGGCCAGGGACCCAGGTCGGGTAGTCAGGTCAGGACCTGGGTCTACCCTCTTGTGATACCTGTCATGGCTTTGGGGGACCTCTTCATCTCCCCAGCCCAGACCTGGCCACCCTGGGGTAAGGGAGAGCAGCTGCATGTTCTCCTGTGCTGGTGCGTGGAAACCTAGAGAGAAACGTGATCCAGGAAGTGTGGACCAAAGCCTCTGCCTCCAGCCTTTCTAGCCAAGTCCCCAGAAGTCCCCACATCTACCCCATAGGCCTCCTGCTGCCCCCAGGCTCCTGCTCTGGCCGTGGCCCTGGGTAGGTGGGTGTGCCCAAGTGCAGGAGCTCTGACTGGGGCACAGAGCGGACCCAGCTTCCTGGCTGTGCACACACCTGTCAAAGAGGTGATGTCAGGTGTTTGTGTCGTCCCTGCACTCTGGGGACCCGGGGTGAGCTCACCTCCCACAGGCTGTGCACAGACACTAGCGAAGCCCTGCCGTGCTCGCTCGAGGTTGGGCCCTTCCCTGCCTCCGAAGACCGAGGCTGGCTTGCGGGGACCCTGAGGCGAGGCTGGCGGTTGTGAGGGGGCTGGCGAAGGGTTCCCGAGACTGTATGAGAGTCATGTGTCTGTGCGTCAGTGAGGCTGCCCCAGGCTGCAGTGCCACCTCCGCCTCCCATCTCCTTTCCCTTGCCGTCTTGCCACCTGTGCTGCCCCCAGGCAGCTGTGCCAGCTGTGTGGGCATCACTAGCAGCCCAGACTTGCATCCTTTTGGAGTGAGGGGTTTCCCCAAGCGAGGAGCACTTGCCAGTCTTCTGTGCCCCTGCCGGCTCCACGGTCGGGCCTGGCTGGACTCTGTAGGAAATGGCAGCGAGGAAGCGGGGGTGGGGAAGTGCCCAGCTGTGGCCGGAGGTGCTGCTGACCCTGAGCGCGAGACCATCAGTCTGATGGCTTCCTCTGGCCGGAAGCTGTGGCCGAGATATCCTTCCTTCCTCCTCACCAGCCCAGACCAGCCTCCTCCCGGGCAGAGGAAGGCCATGGGGGCCTGGGTGGAGCTCCCAGGTCCAAGGCCTATTCAGAAAATGTCCATTGTTGCCAGGCAGGGGCTTGGCTGGCATCACGGGCTCCCAAGTGGGGAACCAGGGTGATGGGGCTCAGGGACCACTGGACCAAGGAAGGCTGATGCTGGGGGTGCCTGGAACGCCAGGGAGGCCTGCCTGTCCGCACCCTCCTCACTTCCGCCCTGTCCTTGTTCCCACAGAGCTGGCAACTGTGGTGCGGCGGTTCTCCCAGACCGGCATCCAGGACTTCCTGACCTTGACCCTGACCGAGCAGTCCGGGCTGCTGTACGTGGGGGCGCGCGAGGCGCTGTTTGCCTTCAGCGTGGAGGCTCTGGAGCTACAAGGAGTGGTGAGAGGCGGGGCGGTGGGCGGCACCAGGTGGGCAGGTGGGCACAGAAGTCCTGAGCGAGCCTGCTCCTCTGCTCCGGAGTGGCGCTTCTGGATTCTGCCCTGGTGGGGTGGTTCGGGCCTTCTGTCCTCCCCTGGAAGAAGTGTCCACACGCAGGCTGGGGACAGAGTCCGCACTGCGTGTGCCCCCTGCTGCAGCTGTGACATCGCTGACGGGCCCCTCTCTGTCCTCAGATCTCCTGGGAGGCACCAGCTGAGAAGAAAACTGAGTGCATGCAGAAAGGGAAGAGCAACCAGGTGGGCACCCGGGCACCACCCATGGCCGGCCCCGAGCTGGCCTGTTGCGTTCATGGCCTGGAGGCCCACGTCTCCGGCCCTCCTGCCCTCCCTGACTGGACGCCTCTCTCCCTGCAGACAGAATGCTTCAACTTCATCCGCTTCCTGCAGCCCTACAACACCTCACACCTGTACGCGTGCGGGACCTACGCCTTCCAGCCCAAGTGCACCTACATTGTGAGTGCTGTCCGCTCCCGGGGGCCCAGCCTGCTCCCGTCCCTGCCGCGGCCTCCCCCCTCATGGTCCCTCTGTCCCCAGGACATGCTCACTTTCACTTTGGAGCGAGGAGACTTTGAGGATGGGAAGGGGAAGTGTCCCTATGACCCAGCTAAGGGCCACACCGGCCTCCTTGTGGGTAAGTGTCTATCCCCAGTGTAGGCTGGGCAAGTCCCTTCTCGGCCAGAGCCGGTCTGCACCCCCCTGCAGCCCCAGCTGAACTTCCATCCCCCACAGACGGAGAGCTGTATTCGGCCACGCTCAACAACTTCCTGGGCACAGAGCCTGTCATCCTGCGGAACATGGGCCCCCACCACGCCATGAAGACGGAGTACCTGGCTTTTTGGCTCAATGGTGAGCCCTGACGTGGAGCCGGGGGCACTGAGGCGGTGTGGGAGGTGCTGTGAGATCCCTGGCGCCCTGCCGCTGACCCCCCTCGCCCTGCCACAGAACCCCACTTTGTAGGCTCTGCCTACGTCCCCGAGAGCGTGGGGAGCTTCACCGGGGATGACGACAAGATCTACTTCTTCTTCAGCGAGCGGGCCGTGGAGTACGACTGCTACGCCGAGCAGGTGGTAGCGCGCGTCGCCCGCGTCTGTAAGGTACTGAGCCCCGCAGCGGGGGTCCTGGGAGCCCTGCCGGCCTGGCAGGGGCTGACCGACTCTGTCCCTTGGCCATCCGCCAGGGAGACATGGGCGGGGCACGCACGCTGCAGCGGAAGTGGACCACGTTCCTGAAGGCGCGGCTGATGTGCTCGGCCCCTGACTGGCAGCTCTACTTCAACCAGCTACGGGCAGTACACACCCTGCGAGGCGCCTCCTGGCACAACACCACCTTTTTTGGGGTCTTTCGAGCTCGATGGTACGTTGGCCAGGGACACCCTGGGGGTGGGGGAGGGTGGGCGTGTGGGACTGCGTGGGCCTCAGGGGCATCCAGGTGACCAGCATCAGGACATCAAGAACACCAGGCTTCTGCTGCCTTATTTCCCTGGGTGCTTTGAGATAGGTGCTCCTTACATACTTCAGGCTGGCCTTGAACTCACTGTATAGCCCAGGCTGGCTTCAAATTGTGGCAGTCCTCCTGCCTCAGCCTCCCAAGTGCCAGGATTACACATGTGTGCCACCGCACCCATCTTATCTGCCCCTTTTTAAAGCTCTTGGGTGGCACCTTAGACCTGCCGGTACATTCTTGTGCCCATGACCACCTTGTGCTGAGCCCTGCCTTGTGCTCTTGCCCCGGAACTGGGGTGAGATGGGCTTAGGTGGGCACCACCCATGACCCTTGAGGTCCATTTTTGTGACAGGGGAGATGTGGACTTGTCAGCAGTCTGTGAGTACCAGCTGGAGGAGATCCAGCGGGTGTTCGAGGGCCCCTACAAGGAGTACCGCGAGCAAGCCCAGAAGTGGGCCCGCTATACGGACACGGTACCCACCCCTCGGCCCGGCTCGGTGAGTCCTGCGGGGTGTGGTATGTTCCTGCTGTCAGCTCAGTGCCTGTCCCTGCTGGCTCACGGTGCCCTCCGGTCCCCCACCCCATGTAGTGCATCAACAACTGGCACCGGCGCCACGGCTACACCAGCTCCCTGGAGCTGCCCGACAACACCCTCAACTTCATCAAGAAGCACCCGCTGATGGAGGAGCAGGTGGCGCCCCGCTGGGGCCGGCCTCTGCTGGTAAAGAAGGAGGCCAACTTCACCCACTTAGTGGCCGACCGGATCACGGCGCTCGATGGAGCCACCTACACGGTGCTGTTCATCGGTACAGGTAGGCACGGCTGTGCCCCGGGGCGGGGCGGGGCAAGGCGGGGTGGCTGGGGATGACCAGAGCCCTGTGCCAGCTTGCTTACCCCTCTCTGCACCTCTCCAGGGGACGGCTGGCTGCTCAAGGCCGTGAGCCTAGGCGCCTGGGTGCACCTGATCGAGGAGCTGCAGGTGTTTGACCGGGAGCCCGTGGAGAGCCTGGTGCTATCTCAGAGCAAGGTAGGATGTCGGGCCCTGCACTGTTGTCCCCAGTGCCACTCCGCCCTGCTCCTCTGCCAGGGCATTGCATGGCACTGAGCGCAGTCTGAGCTCCAGGAAGTGATCACAGTAGCCAGCGGAGTCCACAGCGCCTTTATATATAGCCAGGTCCCCCAGGACTGCGTTCCCAGAACGGGGCCTGGCAGCCACTCATGTGTTCCTTCCTCGGGCCCCTCTTCCTCCAGCCTCTTCCTATCACACCCCTGCTGGCCAGACCTCCCAGGCTGCAGGACGTGTACGGTGTCCCCAAGACGTTGGTTCCTCCCAGTCCCCAGGGGCCCTCTGGGCCCGGCCTTCCACTTCCTCGCTTCCTTGACCGTTTCCCTGATGCGTTGGCATTTTTTTTTTAACCTCATGCAAAACTGTCTTTGGCATATTTCCAGCGCCCTGTGTACTTTGATTGGCTTGCCTTTTACCAGCTATTGTGACTCAAAACTGTTCCCCTGGAACATGGAATAATGGCAGAAAGAAAGTGTGGGGTTGAATAAACACACACAGGTTGGCAGCCACCATTCAAACAGAAAGACACCCTATCCTACACCGCTGCTGTTGTTAGGGGTACTGTTTCCCACACTGTTTGCGTGAGAGTGTGGGGACGCATCTGTTGTCTCTGTTTAATCAGGTCACGGTCCTAAGGTGCTTAGGATCGGGCCGGCTTGTAGTAAGCCCTCAGTGAGTTCTCAGGCTTTGGACTCACCTCTGCCTTCTTTCTCCTGGGGCTACCTCTTGGGGCTGTGCTCCCCAGCTGTAACCCCAGCACCACTGACCCTTCTGTCCCTGATTTTCCTGCAGAAGCTGCTCTTTGCTGGCTCCCGCTCTCAGCTCGTGCAGCTGCCCCTGGCCGCCTGTGGCAAGTACCGCTCCTGCGCAGACTGCGTGCTAGCCCGGGACCCCTACTGTGCCTGGAATGTCAATGCCAGCCGCTGTGTGGCCACAGGTGGCCACTCTGGGTGAGTTGGGCTCTGAGGATGGCAGCCTGGGCATGGGAGGACAGATGAGCTGGAGCCGGGGTGCTGACATCCCCGGTTCCCCTCCAGATCCCTGCTGGTCCAGCACGTGACCATGTTAGACACGTCGAGCATCTGTAACCTGCATGGCAGTAAGAAAGGTGAGCTGTCTGCTCTGTACCCTTGCTGTTGAACTCCTGGGCCTCGGTTAGAGACCCTGCGTCCCTGGCCCTGGCTTCCCCTCAATAAAACGCTGCTCTTGTCTCTGCCACTGCAGTCAGGCTCACACCCAAAAACATCACGGTGGTGGCGGGCACAGACCTGGTGCTGCCCTGCCGCCTCTCCTCCAACCTGGCCCGTGCCCGCTGGACCTTCAGGGATCGGGATCTGCCTGCAGAACAGCCTGGCGCCTTCCTCTACGACACGCGGCTGCAGGCCCTGGTGGTGATGGCCGCCCAGCCCCGCCACGCGGGCGCCTACCACTGCTTTTCAGAGGAGCAGGGCGCGCGGCTGGCTGCAGAAGGCTACCTCGTGGCGGTTGTGGCCGGCCCGTCAGTGACCTTGGAGGCCCGGGCGCCCTTGGAAAACCTGGGGCTGGTATGGCTGGCTGTGGTGGCCCTGGGGGCCGTATGCCTGGTACTGCTGCTGCTGGTTCTGTCATTGCGCCGGCGGCTGCGGGAAGAGTTGGAGAAAGGTGCCAAGGCAGCCGAGAGGACCCTAGTATACCCGCTGGAGCTGCCCAAGGAGCCCACCAGTCCGCCCTTCCGGCCTGGCCCAGAAACAGATGAGAAACTTTGGGATCCGGTTGGCTACTACTACTCCGATGGCTCGCTCAAGATTGTGCCTGGACACGCAAGGTGCCAGCCTGGGGGCGGGCCCCCCTCCCCACCTCCTGGCATCCCCGGCCAGCCCCTGCCTTCTCCAACTCGGCTCCACCTGGGGGGCGGGCGGAACTCGAATGCCAACGGTTATGTGCGCTTACAGTTAGGAGGAGAGGACCGGGGCGGGCACCCCCTGCCCGAGCTCGCCGACGAACTGAGACGCAAGCTGCAGCAGCGCCAGCCGCTGCCCGACTCCAACCCAGAGGAGTCCTCGGTATGAGGGGACCCACCGCATCGGCGGGGCACGCGGGAGGTGCGGCCCCTACTTTTGCACAGGCACCAGCTACCTCAGGGACATGGCTCGGGCACCTGCTCTGCCTGGGACTGGCACTGCCCAGCACCTGCCTGGCCGTGAAGACCTGCTCAGCATGGGCACTGCCACTTGGAGTGGCTCACCAGGGCACCAGCCTTCCTCCTCTGTGAATCTCGGACACATGGGACCCCAGCAGCCAGAACTTTGTAAGGCAGAAGTTGGAAGATGTGGGTGTGTCTGTGCATGTGAGCGTGTGTCTGCATGAGAGCGTGTGCGTCTGCATGGGTGCGTGTGTGAGCGTGCGCGTGCGTGTGTGGCTCAGCCGTCCCGTTTCTGTGGAGTCTTCCCTTGGCCTAGGGTCCTCCTGGTGAGTCTTTGGAGCTATGAAGGGGAAGGGGTCGGATCACTTTGTCTCTCTTACCCCCATCTGTCCCAAATTCGGGGCACCTGTGTACATATGGGGGTGGGGTGGGCAGGGTGCTGTACCCCTCTGGGGGATGGGGAGGAGCGCAGGGCCCAGGGGTGGGCCTAGCCCTGTCCCGGGGCTGTGAATGTTTTCAGGGTGGGGGGAGGGAGATGGCGCCTCCTGTGTGTTTGGGGGTAGGGTGGGCGGGGCCTCCCTCTGGGCCCCAGTTTGGTGGTATTTTATACTGGTCCTCTTCCAGGGCGGGGCTGGGGAAATGTCATGTGGGGAGAGGGAGGGCGTGCTGTGGGTAGCATACCCTCTGCCGGCCCAGGAAGAGGGCTCCTAACAGTGTAACTTATTGTGTCCTTGCGTATTTATTTGTTGTAAATGTTTGAGTATTTTTATATTGACAAATAAAACCGAGAAAATGAAACTTACTGGGATGAGGTCGAGCATTCCGGGCTAAGCCTTATCTCTCTGGGTATGGAGAGGGAAGGTCCCTTGGGTCATGAGGAAGGCTGGTCCCCCCCCCCCATACTCCTGGCTGTGGTCCCAGGGCAGCCTCCCCTGCTGTGGTCCCTGGCTGCTGGTGCCCCTCCAGGGGGCGGGGGACAGCCCAGACTCCAGTGTTTTCCCACAGTCGTGCCTATGGGGCTGGGAACCAGACCAGGGCCACAGCCCCTGGGACCAGCCTGGCTGGGGGCCAGAGAGACAAGGCGGGGGGTGGGGCTGCCCCCCCACCCTCTGGGGAGGGTGAGTGGGAGTGAGGGGACTTCCTAGAAGCCTCTGAAGCAACAGAAGAAGGAGCCGTGGTTTACGTGGAGTCTGGACTCCGGGTCAGCTCACCAGGAGAGAGAACTTCCAGGCTGCTGGCCTGAGAGTGCTGCAGTCCTGACATCCTGACCATGTAGGGAAGGAGCCACCCAGCGTTCCCAGCCCTGCGCTGGCCAGGAAGAGGTACAGCACCCAGATGTTCCTAAGACAAACAACAGGCCGCAGCCTGGATGTGCCGCTGAGTGCCAAGGACGGGTTAGAAGTGGCCAACCCACGCCGACACGGAGGCCTGAGCTCCCCTGAGCGGTGGAACAGCTGGCTGGGTCTGGGACCGCCGTTGCTGTCCTTGGCAACCGTCCACAGCCATCCGCTGCCCACAACCATCAGCCCGAGGGGCATTTTGGGAAACCTGGAGCTGGGCTCAGAAAAGCAAGTGGGGGGCTTGGCACGGTTGGGGGGGGCCATGGTCCTGCCCTTGGGGTGCTCCGAGGGACTGTGGTTGGCCCCTTGCTGGCTATTTTTTTCATTGTGGTACCGGGGATTGAACTAGGGCACTGAGCTATATCTGCAGCCCTTTTTTGAGACAGTCTCACTAAATTGCCCAGGCTGGGCTCGAACTTGCAATCCTCTTGCTTCACCCTCGGAAAGTGCTGGGATTACCAGCGGGTGCCACCATGCCCGGCTCCCTATGGGATTGTGAAGCAATGAGGAGGGTGTCGGTGGCCTTGCAAGCCGCTGGACCTGGGGTACTGCAGGGGTGGGGTGCGGTGGGGTGGGGTCGGGGCGAGGGTGCCGAGAGAAGAGCACCCAGGGTTGGCCAACAGGACACGGTCAGACCACGCCCAGCCGCCTGGTTCCCCTCCATCCCCCCCCCACGAGCTGCAGGGCGCGGCGCCCCGCCCTCGCGGCAGCCCAGTCCCACTGCGCCCAATCCCACCGTCCTCGCTTAGCCTAGCGCGCCCTCGCGTGGCGGCGTCGAAACATGTTTCGACGGCTAAGCCCCGCCTCATCATACGATTGGCTCTCCAGGTAAGGGCTAGGCGCTGGGTTGGTTCACTCGGGCCAGGGGCGGGACTGGAGGACAGCGCGGGCGCCGAGTGGCCGGATTGTGACGGCGGGGCGGGCGCTGCTTCCACCTCTCTCGGGCGGCCGAGGCCAGGATGGCGGCGCCGCGGCCGTGTGGGGACGGGCCGTGCTGCTCGTGCCCGGCGGCGGTGCCCGGAGTGCAGCAGACGCTGGAAGAGATGGACTTCGAGAGAGGTGAGACGAGAGAGGTGCGGGCAGGGACACCGCGCCGTCGTTGCCGTAAGCTGCCCGAGTGGTGCGGCCGAGCCTGCGTCCTGCTGGCGGCCGCACCCGGAGACCCAGGGCTGCTCGGGTGGGAGCCGACTCTGCAGCCGGCATCGCGCCCCCGGGAGGGCAGGGCCCGGGCTCGGTCTTCGCGGTGCCGCTGCGGCCCGGGCTGCTGGGCGGTGCACACGCCTGGGAAGCGGCCACGACCTCGGCGGGTGACAGGTGACCGGGCTGCCCAGGGGGCCCGGAGAGGAAGCCCTGCTGCCTGCAGGAAAGCTGGGCGCCAGTGTCTGCTCTCTGTGCAGGCGCTACCTGGCTGTGCCCCGTCCCGCAGGGGCTCTGCGCAGTCATAGTGACACCGTCGTCCTTGGTTATGTGCTGCCGCCGCCGATGCGTTCACACTTCACCATTACCGCAGAGCAGCGGGTCTGCGCCTGCCCACTTCCCTCACCTCCCCCGAGCCAACCTCTAGGCTAAGGAAGCAGCAGGACTTCCGCTTTCGGGCTCGCCCCCCAACCCAGCGGACCCCCCTCGCCCCTCGTTTTTCCGTTCCCCGCAGCAGCCCGAGGAGCCCTTGGAAAATACTAAATCAGATTATTGCAATTCCTGAGGCTTTTATTTTTTGAGGCAAGGTCTCACTGTAATCTGGCCTCAAACTCATGATCCTCCTGCCTCTGCCTCCTGAGCACTGGAATTAAAGGAGGTGCTGGCACACCAGGTTTCCCATTGTTTTTTGTTTGTTTTTGTGGACCTGGGGCCTGAACCCAGGGCCTTCACACTGAGCTAGTCCCCAGTCCTCTTTTTCTTTTTCTTTCTTTTTTTTTTCTTTTGGGACAGGGTCTCACTGTGCACTTCAGACTGGCCTTGAGCTCACTTTGTAGCTGAACTTGCAACAGTCCTCCTGCCTCAACCTTTCAAGTGCTGGGATTACAGGCATGCACCACCACGCCCGGCTGTTTTTTTAATTTTTAGATGAGGTCTAACTAAGTCCCTAAATTCCCCAGGCTGGGCTCAGATTTTCAATCTTCCTGCCTCAAACTCTCAGAATGCTGAGATTACAGGTGTGCACCTCCCCACCTGGCTGTCATTGCTTTCAGAACAAATCCAAACTCCATATAATGGCCTACAAGGCTCCTTGACCATATTCCTGCTCTATTTCTCCACCCTTATTTCAATTCTTTTGGCTTTTTGTTTTGTTTTGTTTTTCTCCGGTACCGGGAACCGAACTCACGACCTTGCGCTTGCCAGGCAGGCGCTTTGCCGCTGAGCTAAATCCCCAGCCCCCATTTCAATTCTTGATTGCCTGCAATCACCACTATGCATCAGCCACACCTGTCTCATTTGGGGATTTTTTTAGAGGGAGCAGCGGTCACCGGGTATTGAACCTAGGGCCTCACACATGCTGACCAAGCACTCTACCACTGAGCTACATCCCAGGCCTTTAATTTTTAGATAGGGTCTTGCAGAGTTCCCCAAGGTGGTCTTGAACTTGTGATCCTTCTGCTCTGGCTTCCTGAGTGGCTAGGATTACGGCATGCGCCCATGTTCTGGTTCTCCTCTGCTTATTTTCAGAGAACTTTGTACCACCGCACTTATTTTATAAATGTGTTGAATAGCGGGGCATGGTGGCGGATGCCTGTAATCCCAGCATTCAGGAGCTGAGGCAGGAGGATTGTTGCAAGTTCAAGGCCAGCCTGGGCTACAAAATGAGCTCAAGGCCAGCCTGAACTGCACAGGGGGACCCTGTCTCAATTTTTAAAAATGTTGAATATACATGTAGAAAAATATAATATATGTATATATGTAATATATATAATATATGTAATTATATGTAGTTTATATACATAGATGATTACGTTTACATGTAATGTGTATATATAAACACATGTACATATGTTTCTTGTTTTTCTTCTTTAAATGAAACGTAGGCTCCACTAAGCCAAATTTTTAAGTTTTGTTTATCTTTGACCGATCCTGAGTGCCTACAACACCTCCACGTACATAGGAAGCACAGTCTGTCTATCCCTAACTTACCTCAGATGCTTGGGAACAGAAGTGTTTCGGAGTTGGGATTTTTTTCAGATTTGGGGATATTTGCACGTACCAAGATCTCTTGGGAGCAGGGCCCTGTTCTGAGCCCCATTCCTGTTTTGTCTGTGCCGTGTGCACATGGCCTGAAGGTGTTCCGGCACGTGTGTCCTCACCGAATGCAAGCGAGTGCAGCTTTCCCCCTGCACCCTGTCCACGGGTTCAGATTGCGGGTTCAGTGGGGCCACTCAGCGTGGAATGAGCGAGCTGCCGGGGTGCAGCCCGCTCGCTCCCCACAGTGAGGAAAAGGGAGGCCCTTGGGAGCAGTTGGTCGCTGGGGTGGCTCCCCCACGGCCCGGCTTCGCTCACGGAGCCTCAGAGCGGCTCCCTGCCACCCAAGAGGCCTGGAGCTGTCCCTCCCGACCTGCTCGGGCACTGGCACCAGAGTCCTGAGGTGTGTGTCCAGCACCGGGTACCTGTGGGCTGGGTGGCTTCAGTGCCCATCCCTACAGTGGCTTTGGTCTTCACTGTATTTGTTTGGTTGTTTTCTTGAGACAAGTGTACCCCAGGGGGCCCTTGGATTTACCCACTCCTCCTGCCTCAGCCTCCGAGAGCTGGGATTATAGGCAGGGCCAGCAGGCTTGGCTCTGATAATGGTTGCTGAATGACCGGATGTTCTCCCGGTTATAGACACGGAGACTTGGGTCCCGACGTGGCGGAGGCGCTGAGCGGCCCTGGCGCTGGGACATTTACCTGCTCAGTCTTTGCCCGGCTCTCTGCAGGCATCTGGTCGGCAGCCCTGGATGGAGACCTGGGCCGCGTGAAGTCTTTCATCCAGAAGCCCACAGACCCCAGCCAGCCCGACTCGGCCGGCTACACCGCCCTGGTGAGGCTGGGAGAGGGTCGCTGTGACCAGCGCTGGCGGCTCCCCAAGGGGGGTTGGTGCACACTGTCTTCCATGCTGTGGTTTGGCTTAGTGTCCCCCAGAGGCCCATGTGTCCAACCTGGTCTCGGAACCGTCAGGGACGGTGGAACCTCCCTGTTGGGGATATGCCTGGGAGGGGATGCGGGGACTCTGGCCCCCGGCTGCCGTGAAGTGAGTGACACGTGGATGCACCACAGGCCCAGAAGCACGGACGAAGCCAACAGTGTAAGGCCAGAGCCCGGATGGACCTCCTGTTCCTTTCATTTGTAGCACTGGGGCTTGAACCCACAGCCTGGCGCTGTATCAAGAGCTACATTCCCAGCCCAACAGTTTTCTTTCTCTGTCTCTCTCTCTCTCTTTTTTTTTTTTTTCCTGGCAATGTCAATGGACTGAACCTAGGGGTTTTCCAGTGAGCTACATCCCCCAGCCCAATTTTTATTTTGTACTTTGAGACAAGATCTTGCCAAAGTGCCCAGGCTGGGTTTTAATTTGCAGTTCTCCTGCCTCAGCCTTCCAGAGTGCTAGGTTTACAAGCATGCACTGCCATGCCTGTTATTTCCCCCCACAAAAAAGGGGCTTGTCAAGTGGTCTAGGCTGACCTTGAACTTGTTCTGTAGCCCAGGCTGGCATGAAACTCAATCTTCCTGCCTCAGCCTCCTGATTGCTTTTTAAATTTCCATATATTAAGGAAAACATGTGATACTTGTCTGGATGTGGCTTATTCCACTTGACATGATGACCACCGGACCCATCTGTCTTCCTACAAATGAATTTTTTTCTTTTTATGGCTGAATGATACTCATTGTGTGTGTGTTTGACATTCACCTGTTGACGGGCAGCACACCTTGGCTACTGTGAACTGTGCTGCAATAATTGTGGGTCTGCAGGTGTCCCTGTAGTGTTCTGACTTTAATGCCTCAGCTATGTGCAAAGGAGATGCATAGCTAGATCGAATGATAGCTCTGTTTGTAGGTTTTGAGGACTGATTTCCGTAGTGGCTGTACTATTTTACATCCCCACAGCGCCCCACAGCCACACCAACCTTACTGTTTTCTGGGTTCTTGATGATAGCCATTCTGACACGGGTGAGGTGTGGGCTCTGGTAGTTTTTACTTATTTTGAGACAGGGTCCTGCTATGTAGCTCAGACTTGCCTCGAACTCACAGCAGCCCTCCTGCCTCAGCCTTCAGAGTGCTGGGATTACAGGTGTGCGCCACCATGCCCGGCTCGGTGTAGTTTTGATTTGCATTTTCCTAATGGCTAATACAGGGTGGTGGTTTTTCACATACTTACTGGCCATCCACACCACTTCACGAGTCCGCTGTTGGATTCTGTGTCGGAGATGACTGGGTTGTTTCCCCTGCAGCTAGAGCACGGCATCCTGCAGGCTGTCTGCTCACCCTGCTCGTCCCCTCGCTGTGTGGACGCCAGTGAGGCTGTGTCCCACCCGTAACTGCCGCTTGTGCCCCGTGCTGTTGGAGTCCCGGCTGGAAAGCGTCCCCTGTTCCTGTGACTTGCTTTCTTCCAGCAAGCTTCCCTGTCTAGGAAGCGAGCACCCTGCCCGGGGCCATCGCTGTGAGCGCTGCTTCCTGCCTGCGTCGGCCAGAGGCCGGGGAGCCTCCTCCCAGGCAGAAGCTGGCAGTGGGCACGGAGCAGTGTGCCCAGCGGTCCCCCGCTGCCGGGTGGTCCTCACCACCTTGCCGCCCTCACCGCCGGCCTGGGCTCTGCCTCCTGACCTGGCTCTCTGCCCCCGCAGCACTACGCCAGCCGCAACGGGCACTACGCCGTGTGCCAGCTCCTGCTGGAAAGCGGGGCGAAGTGTGACGCCCAGACCCATGGGGGCGCCACGGCCCTGCACCGTGCCAGCTACTGCGGCCACACGGAGATCGCACGGCTGCTGCTCTCGCACGGCTCCGACCCCCGGCTGGTGGACGACGACGGCATGACCAGTCTACATAAGGTCGGTCCCTCCCCCCCGCCGCCACCAAATTTTCTTTTATTTTTTTTGTGTTTTGAGATAGGGTTTCTCTCTGTAACCCAGGCTGGCCTCAAGCTCACAGCAATCTTCCTGCCTCAGCTGCCACCAAGCCCAGCCCAAAAACTTTCTTCTTGTAAAATATAACATGCGGGGGGCTTGGGAGGGTACGTGCCTATAATCCCAGCACTTGGAAGGCTGAGGCAGGAGGATGGAAAGTTTGAGGCCAGCCTGTATTACGTAACAAGTTTGAGGCCAACCTGGAGTATAGGGTGAAACCCTGTCTCAAAAAATCACAAAAGCCAGGCGTGGTGCTACACACCTGGAATCCCAACACTCAAGCTGGAGATTTAGCTCAGCGGCACAGCTCCTGCCTGGCAAGTGCAAGGTCACGAGTTCGATCCCCGGTACCAGAAAAAAAAAAAAGAACCAACACTCAAGAGGCTGAGACAGGAGGATCACCACAAGTTCAAGGGCATCTGGGGCTACACAGTGAGTTCAAGGCCTAACTGAACTACATAGTGAGACCCTGTCTCATAAAACAAAAAACAAACAACGAAAAAGAAGAGTTATAACATATTCATTGTAGAAAACTTGGGGGAAATAGAAAGGTGTAGGGAAGAAAATAAAAATTAATGAATGCATTATCTTTCAGCCTTGTCCCTATGCAGTGATCAAGAATGCATGGTGTGCTCAGCTCTCGTCCTGAGAGCGGGGTGTCCCGAGACGTTCCGTGTGACTACCTCTCAAAGCTGTGCCCCTCCTGCCCGTCAGAGCCAGAGTGGTCCAGCACTGCATTAACCTTTCTGGCTAGAGACATCCACATGCTCAGCGTAGCATGCTGGGAAAACGAGCACCTGTAGCTCCTCCTTCCAGGCATCTATTTACTGCTTCCTGAGGTGTCTCTGTGTGTGTGTGTGTGTGTGTGTGTGTGTGTGTGTGTGTGTGTATCTGGTACTGGTACTGGGTCCTTGAACCTAGGATCTTCACACTGACCTACATCCCCAGCCCTTTTCACTTTTTATTTTTGATATAAGGTCTCACTAAGTGGCCCAGGCTGGGCTCAAACTTGCAGTCCTCCTGCCTCAGCCTCCCAGAGTGCTGGGATTACAGGTGGGCCGGGTTGGGAGGTGGCTTACACTCATGTATGGTTTATGTGTGTGAATACATCCCTCTTTCACCCCCACTTTGATTTCCCCCCAGAGCAGTGGTTTTAAAGAATCTGATGAGCCCTACCCTCCTTTAGACCCCCACTCTCTCTCCTCAGGTCTGGAGCCATCTGCAAGACCTGGGGTCACCACCCACCCACCTCTCCAGCCTCAACCTCCTGCCCTTGTGCCCTATACCTCTGTCTTCTCATTTTCTTGCTTTTGTTTTGTTGGAACCAGGTCTCACTATGTAGTTTAGCTGGCCTCAAAGTCACAGCGGTCCTCCTGCCTCAGCCTCCCGAGTGCTGATTCCAGGCGTGCACCACCACGCCCGGCTGGATGTTGGGTTTTGTTAAAGCCTTGCCTGTGGGAGAGGCAGACTGCCTGAGTCGTCATGGTCCAGGCTGCTGCTGCTCCAGGGTTTCCTGCCACAGTTGGCAGAGGGGCGTTCACAGGAGGTGCTGCCACCACCACACGGGGACTTGCTGGGCTGGTGGTGCCAGTGCTTGCTGACTTTGGACACAGCTCTGTTCCTCCCACTCAGACAGTGCAGATGTGTGAGAGATGTACACACCTGTTCCTCTTTTTTTTTTTTTTTTTAATAGATTATTTGCAAACACTGGTGGTTTATTATTCTTTGAGAGGATTGAGACAGTCTCGCTAAGTAGCCCAGGCTGGCCTCATTCTCGGCGAGCCTCCTGCCTCAGCCTCCTGGTGCTAAGATTATATGCATGCCCACCATGCCCAGCTGGTGCTTCACTTTTTATGAAAACATTACTCGGGATGAATGAGGCCCCCAGCTGCCTGCAGGACCCCCTGTCTGATGGAGGCAGCAAGGTCAGGAATCTGCAGTCCCAGCTCTTTAAGAAGCTCTGCACAGGATCTGGGTTCAGGCGTGGGGTGCAGTGGCTGCCTCCTCTCAGACGCCCCTGCAGTCCATCTGTCGCTAGGAGGAGGAGGCAACGGCGGGCAACAGAGTTATCCAGAGTCCATGGAGCCGGCGTAGATGCCCGGGCCACCCTGGGACCTGGGTGGGCTACTTACTGCAGCCCAGGTCTCTTCCTGTGTCCGTGGGGACATGGTGCTCCCTGCCTCTGGGGGCTGTGACAGAGAAATGAGACTTCCAGCAGAGCTCACCGGACTCCTGCTTTGGCGGAGGGGGCCAGAACTCAGTGTCTGGGAAGTGTTCTCACAGAGGGGAGCGAGGCGGGGCCAGAAACGCCCAGGTCTGCCCTGTACAGCCGTGTGCCCAGAGGCCGGGGTCCGTGCCCTAGGCCCCTGTGCCTGCCAGTGCCTGGTGGGGCCTGGGGTGCTGAGGGCATGAGGATCTGGCTGGAGACAAGCAGGGCCACAGGGCAGAGGGCATGAGGAAGAGAGGTCAGGCTGAGTGCCAGGCTGGCACGGGGGCTTCACCAGTCTGTGCCCAACGCCCCAGGATGCGGCGGGATTAGACGTCTGCCCCTTCTCCGTTGCCCGCACACCTCTGCTTCAGGAGAGGAAGTTCCTGAGCGGGGCAGGCCCTGCAGGGACCCTGGTGCCGCCTGCTGACGGAGCCTCTCTCCGCAGGCTGCCGAGAGGGGACACGGGGACATCTGCTCCCTGCTGCTGCAGCACAGCCCGGCCCTGAAGGCCGTCCGGGACCGGAAGGCGCGGCTCGCCTGCGACCTGCTGCCGGGCAACAGTGCCCTGCGGGACCTGCTGGCCAGCTGAGGTGACAGCACCACGTTGAGAGCACAAACACCAGGCCATGGCCTGCCCCGCCTGCTCAGCATCCACGCAGGCGGACAGCCCTCCCAGGACACCCAGAGCCACACAGAGCCAGGGTGGCAGCGAGGCGGAGCTGGCAGCATTTAAGCCGGGACACACGGTCCCATTCTGAGTTAATCCCGTGGAAACATCTACGCACTTGGGAAAAATAAAGTTATCTCCTGACCTCATGCCATGCACAGGGCGAATGTTGAGCTGGAGCACCTCGGTGTGAAAGCACAAAGCCGAGGAGCGGAGGTGTGGGCCGTGGGACTGGCTGAGCCGCCGTGGCGCAGGGTGCTTCGGCCTCAGTCCCTCGTGTCCTCATCGGGGAGGTGGGGGTGGTCACCGCAGGGTGGCTCTGGGGCCTTGGGGAGGGCATGGTACAAGCGCGTGTGAATGACGGGGTCCTCCTTGGCCAGCGGCCTTTGCACAGTCCTGTGAAGCCGGCAGCCCGCAGGCAGCAGCCAGACCGTGTCGGTAGAGGAATAGGAACAGGGCTGGGGCTGGAGCACAGTGTGACGGCCCTGGGTTCGGTCCCCAGTGCTGGGGAAGGAGTCTGCTCGCCAAGCAGGGAGGCCCTGGTGCTTCGAGGAAGGGTGGTTCAGCTGTCCGCAGAGAAAGGCTTCTGCAGATGCAGAATACACAGATGAAAAGACAGCAGGGCCGGATGAAACGCACCGTGGTTTCCCTGGGCCACTGTGTTTGAGCAGTTAGATAAGAGCTCAGGCTTTGTGCTTGGGTTTTTTTTTGTTAGGAATATTTCTTTGCTGGGGATATGGATCAGTGGCAGTGCCTGCCTGGAAAGTGCGAGATCCTGAGTTCAATTCCCAGTGCCCCTCGCAAAAAAGGAATTTTTAAAATACTTTGTGGTACTGAGGTTTAAACCCCGGGCACTCTGCTGCTAAGCTACACCCCTAACCTTTTATTTTTTATTTAAAGACAGGGTCTAAGTTACTCATGCTGGGCTTGAAATTGCCATCCTCCTGACTCAGCCTCCCGAGTAGCTGGGATTACAGGCATACAAGAGGACCAAGCTAGGAATAATGTATTAAGTCAGTTAACAGTTTCACGTGGGACCCACTGGCTTTCTGCTAAGAATTTCAGATACAGTCTGTTGTTGCCAAATTCCCTTGCCAAATGTCAAGGGGAGGAGTTAAGAGCTGGCTGGCATGGAAGGGCGGAGCCAAAGCCCGACCTTCTTATCTGCTGTCCTGCAGGTCTGCTTAACCCCTTCCCTCCTCGGAGCTAGACTGGCAGAGAGCAGCAAGAACATGCACTGTAAAAGGCCTGGTGCTGTGGCTATAGCTCCATGGTAGAGCACCGCAAAAAAAAAAAAAAAAAAAAAAAGCCCCTGATACTGAGGAAAACAGCCTGATGACCAAGATGTTATTAGTGCCCATGGAGCTACCCTGGAACGTTTCCAGGTGCCGGAGCCAGCTCTCTTCCAGGCCCCACTGTCTCTCTTGAGTCTGGCTTTGCCACCTCTCTCTTTTTCTGAAACGTTCAGCCCTCTGAAGTTCATTTTCTTGTGGCTGTTCCTTTTACCTTGTCCTCCCCCAGCCTCTTTGCTCTCCTCCGGCCCTGCCTGGGTGCTGTTGGAAGGGAGCTCCTGGCCCTGCAGGCCCCGCGGGCGGCGCTGTGGGCTTCCCCTCTCGAGGGCATCTCTGCCCTGCCGCTCTGCCCTGGCTGGTTTCCTTTCAAGTCAAGCACAGTTCAGGCCCTGCTGGGTGAAGGGCATGTGTGGGGGAATTTGATTACGTGGCTGAAGACAGATTGCCTGACAGCTGCGTTTATCATCACTGGAGTTGTTTTCTTTCTTTTTTTTTTTTTTTCTCTTTTTTTGAGACAGGGTCTCACCATGTAGCTCAGGCTGGCCTTAAACTCACTTTGTAGCCCAGGATGGTCTCCAACTCGCATCGATCATCCTGCCTCAGCCTCCGAGTGCCGGGATTACAGGTGTGCGCCACCACGCCCAGCTCGTAGTTACTCCCTAGCAGGACCTGTTGCAGCTCAGCCCTGTCCCTGTGAATGGCACGCCATGCCCTGTGCCCAGGGAGCATGTGTGGGCACCTGCATGGGGCACGGAAGACGTCTCCAGAGCCTGAGCACCGGGAGCGGCCAGGCCCAGCTCTTGAGGGTGGGCGGCATGCGTGGTGGCCTTGGCCCAGGGGAGAGGAGGGCTGTAGACATCCGCTGAGGCCCGGGTACAGATTCCTGAGGCCATTGGTCAGCCTCTTCTGTCCCTCCTGAAGTCCTTGGGGAACTCGGGCTCCTTGTCCTCGTCCTCTGGATAACTGAACGAGGTCTTGGTGGTGCAGCTGGCCAGACCTGCACCATGGAGGCGGGGGCAGGACCTCTCCCAGGGGCTTGGAACCCAGCAGAGCAGGAAGTGTCCCCACGGGGTGGGTCTAGTGGCCCACGGTGGGGGAGGCGGCGGGCAGGGAGGCGCTCGGCCCAGCTCCAACAGCTCTGCTCCCTGCCCTCAGCGGCCACATTCCCGGCTGGGTATTTTGGTTGGTGTGACAGGCCCCCAGAGCCATCCGGCCTTGGCAGGGGCCAGCCCTTCCCGCCTCCCCCAGGAGTCAGCTTCCCTATAAAAGGGCCGCGTTCCGCTCTGCTCGCAGAGGCGTGGAGAGCAGGGGGGGACCATGGACTTCATCAGCATTCGGCAGTTGGTGAGGACGGGCTCTTGGTGGCCTGAAGCCGGGGCTGTGGGGTGGCGGGGGCTGGGGAGCAAGAGGGAGCCAAATGGGAAGAAGTGGGGTGCAGCCTGATGCACAGGTCCTCGAGTTTGGGGAGCATCCTGTTGCTTGTGGGGGTGGGGACAAGAAGGGCCTCGCTCACTAGGCCACACCACAGCTGGTGCGTCCCACTTTGTCCTGGACTGAGAGGACAGGGGACCGGGGTGGGGACTCCTGCTGAAGCCGTGGTGTGCCTGGGCGTCCCTTTATCCCAGCCCTACGACAGTCGTGGAGGCAACCGAGGGTCTGGCTGCTTTGGTGGCCGGGGGAAGGGTGCTCTTGGGTGCCCTGGGCAGTGAGAAACAGCAGTGGCTGTGATGCTCTGGGGTGTGCGGGGGGTGAGGCTGAGCTTGCGGGGTCCAGCAGTGGCCCCAGTTTGCTGCAGCTGCTGACAGAGGCAGATCCCAAAATCCGGGAGCATCAGGTGGCCAGGGCTGCTGCTTTAGACAGAATTCAGTTCTCCTGGCCGGAGGCCCTAGGTGGTGCGACCCCACAGTTCCAACCCTTCTCTTCCCCAGGTAGCTGGGGCCCTGGCTGTTGGCCGCACAAATACCAAAAGTTCCTGTGGTTTTCACAGCATCCTTGGAAAGTGCTAGCAGGAACCCATTTCACAAATGTGGAAACATAGCTTCCCAAACCCAAGTGGGACCCAGGGACCCAGAATTGTCCCGAGGCATCTCCTCTGTTCCTATGAGCTTGGGGTCAGGTGGCAGTGTGGCATGATCTGCCAGGAATGCAGGGACAGCACCCCAGGAGGGAGGCTGGATATCGTTTGCCCCTGGGCTCCCGGGCGCAGGCCCAGCAATATAAATAGCCTAGGTCACCTGCCTTCAGCCCTGCAATCCTGCTGATGGGAGCAAGTAGGCGGAGGCAGCTGGCCCCCTGGACCTTGGTCGTCGCCACAGCTGGGGAGGACGAGCACAGGTGTTGGTGCTCGCCAGCACCAGGACCCTCATCTGTGATCTAGGTCAGCTCCCAGGAACCATCACAGCTCTATTTTTCTTTTCTCTTTTAAATTCGGTAATGGGGATTGAACCCAGGGTGCATTAAGCTACACCCAGCCGTTTTAATTTTAAAACAGGGTCTTGTCAAATTGCCCACCCTGGGCTTGAACTTTCAGTCCTGCCTCAGCCTCAAGACTGTTTTCTAAGGGTTCCTCCAGTTTTCCTGATTCCCTGTCCCACAGGTGAGCGGAGAAAGAGAAGGGAAAGCGCTGGGGTGTGGACACACAGCTCCCGATCCCGGAGGCCGGCCTCGTGACTGGAGGCTGGGCCCCCACGAGGCGGTGGCCCGGGAGAAGCTGAAACAGGAAGAAGAGAGGAAGAAGAAAGTGAGTGACGCCGGCGGTGTTGGGAAGCGGGTCCCGTGTGCCTGTCCTGAGCCCAGGTGTAGCCAGGATCAGACTGGCTGAGGGCCTGTCACCGAGGTCCCCTGCCCCAATGGCTGATTGCTGGCCTGGTCTTGTCTTTGCCCACGTTCTACCCTAGCTGGAAAAATTCAACAGCTCCAGAACGAATCTGGAGAAACTGGAAGACTTAGAAAACTTGGTCCAAAGACGGAGAGAAAAGCGACTAAGACGCAGAGCCCCCCCCAGGGAACCAGAGCCCGTGGCTGAGGTAAGAAGTCAAGGCAGGTGGGGGATCCCCAGGGCTCAGTGCCAGGGGCAGCGCCTGCTGTCCCCAGGGGCTCAGGGAAGAGGCGATGCAGAAACCACACTGCACAGCCGCTGCCCAGGGTCCCTTGGCATCTGCCAGGACAGCCAGGGCGAAGGCCCAGCTGTCTCATGGCGCTGGGGGCTACAGGCCTGGGCAGCAGGCTGGTAGCTTTCCCCAAAGGAGAGAGTGAGGGAACACCAGCAGCCCCCCTCAGGTCCCTGTAGTCCCCAGCTTATAGGTGCCTCGCCCACCTCTGCCCTGTTATTCCAAGATGTTCTCCCGTGTCCCTTGTGACGAGGACACCAGTCCCACAGGAGTACAGCTCCCTTTGGCATTGTCATACTGGAAAGGGGCCACCCCACTCCAGCGCAACCTCAACGAATTTCATCTGCAAGGGCCACATTTCCAAATAAGGTCCCCTCCCCAAGGCCAGGGCTAGGACTTCAGCATCTGAACATGGGGGCGGGGATGACAAATCTGCACAACACATGCCCCGCCGCCTATCGAGTCTCCTGGGAGGGAGACTGGACATCAGAATGACACCTGCCCGGTCCCACCGCATGCTGGTCCTGTCCGCGCCTGGAGTCCCTGGGCCAGGCTGGGGATGTCATTGTGGCCGCCCGCCAGCCTGTGGAGTGACGCGGGCTTGTCCTTCCATTCACCCAGCCACAGCCCCAGGCCCCACTGGGACCTGTGGACCTGGAGACGTTCCTGAAGGCAGCTGCTGAGAACCAGGAGTCCCTGGTGGACAAGTACCTGGCAGACGGAGGGGACTCCAGTGCGCATGACAAGGTAGCACGGCTGGGTGACATGCATGCTGTTGTATACATCCTGGTCCTGGCCCGGGACATGGCGAGCTTTTCGTGGACACAGATGTGGTGGCGGGACGTGAGGTGGGGGAGGCCCCTGACCTGGTGGTGGGATGGGTGACATCCGGGGCCCTGCTCCCTCTGCCTAACCTGCCCTCTGTCTCACCTCAGCTGCACCGCACGGCCTTGCACTGGGCCTGCCTGAAGGGTCACGGCCAGCTGGTGAGCAAGCTGCTGGCAGCCGGCGCCGCAGTGGACGCGCGTGACCTGGTGAGCACTGGGAAGGCCATGCCCTGGCCCAGCCCTGCCCGGCATCCGCTGGCTGAGCGCTGCTCCTTGTGTTGCAGCTGGACAGGACCCCCATGTTCTGGGCCTGCCGGGGAGGACACCTGGACATCCTCAAACAGCTGCTCAACCAGGGAGCCCAGGTCAACGCCCGGGACAAGGTGAGGGAGCAGCCGCCTGCGGGGGTGGCCGTCAGAGCAGGAGGCCCTGCAAACGGGGGAGAGGCTGCCGGCCCAGACCCCATCCTGACCCCACGTCCTCCTAGATCTGGAGCACGCCCCTCCACGTGGCTGTGCGCATGGGCCACTCCGACTGCCTCGAGCACCTCGTGGAGTGTGGTGCCCACCTCAACGCACAGGACAAGGTGGACGCTGGGTCTCTCTCGGGGCACGGGACGAAGGGGCTGCCCGACCCTCCCGCCCAGGGCCCCCCGTGTGGACAGGAGGTGACGTCCTTTCTCCACAGGAGGGGGACACAGCTCTCCACGATGCTGTGCGCCATGGCCGCTACAAGGCCATGAAGCTGCTGCTGCTGTACGGCGCCAAGCTGGGCGTGCAGAACGCGGTGCGTGCCGCTGGCGAGGCCCAGGGTGGCGCGGGGGCGGTGGGAACAGCGAGGACTGACTCGGCCTCCTCGTTCCAGGCCTCCCTGACCCCTGTGCAGCTGGCCCGAGACTGGCAGCGGGGCATCCAGGAAGCGCTGCAAACGCACGTCAGGCACCCCCGCACCCGATGCTGACCGCGCGGGCCTGTGGGCTCACTCAGCCGTCCTTCGCGCCCCCAGGGCTCTCTGCACTGCACCCATGGTCCCTGGCCTTAGTCCTGTTCCCTTCGGCCCGAGGCAGCCCCACGAGGGCCAGCGGGTGGAGGGCAGGTGCCTGCTGTGTAGGGCGCTGCTACCCCTGCTTGGCCGGGCTGGGATGGGCTAATGCAGAGACCACAGGCGGTGGGAAGCAAAGTGGGTCCAGACGGAGCCAGGGCGCAGAGCAAAAGTGGGGCTGGAGCGGAAGCAAGCCAGCTGGGGCCAAGGACCGGACCTGTTTCCCCTCAGGCTCACTGGCTCCTGAGGAGAGTGAGGTCCGGTCGCCTGCGCGGTGGCACAGAGGCGGCCGTAGCTGCAGCCCAGACGTGAGACCGCGGCGGGCCAGGCTGGTGCCAGCACTGGTGCGGGTCTCCCTCTGGACCTGTTGGCGGCAACCCTGATGGGTCCGGAGTGGCTCTGGTCCTAGGCACTCGGGGGAGGTTCTGGGGTCTGCAGGGCCCTCAGCAGGCCTGAGGCCCACAGGACAGATGCCAGAACCTTCCAGGTTGCCTCAGAGGCCTAGGACCGATGAGCTAGGGCAGCCCTGTGTGGGGACTGTACCCGACCTGCTTCAGTCAGAGGGGCCTGCTGCACGGTCGCCAGCGGTGGCTCTCCTCCTGGGGCATGAGCCCGGCGCTGGGGTTGCTTGTGGCCCACTCAACTCCTGAGGCGGCGGCCCGCAACCCTGGCTTCCCTGGGCCTCTGCTGCCCCCTGGTGCTGGAGCCCTGCAGCTGCCCGTTCCTCTGCGCTCCCCACGCACCTCTGCCCCCCCCAGGCAGCACACTGAGGAGCTCTGTGCCCAGCGGGCAGCAGGGCAGGAAGGGACACCCAGACACCCTCCCTCCCTGGCCTGGCCTGCGGGCCCGCTCCATGCTCCTTCCCAAATGGCTCCTTCCTTCCCGCCCACTCCTCTGGGTACAGACGTACCCCGGCAGCGCTGGATCCTTAATTGCCAGAACGTGGCTCGGGACGGGCTCTGCTGCCCACACAGGCACCGGCTGAGGCTCACATGGTCCCCACACATGACAACAGAGGCTCAGCCTCCCTCCCATGGTCCTGGGTCAGACGCGGCACCCGGGGTGGCGTCCGTTCAGCAGCAGTTCTTCCTAGTGTGACCACAGTGGCCTTCTGAGGCCACACGAAGCCTCCTGAACTGCGTGAGAAGGCCGATGAGCACCCACTCTGAGCCACACACCTGTCCACCGGCAGCTTCTGCTGTGGCGACACAGCCAGTGTGTGCCATGATGCAGGTGCCATGGGCCAAACAGGCGCTTCCGCCTACGGAGATGACAAGTCCTCTAGCAATGAGGGCACACAAGCACAGACAAAAGCACCTTTTTATACGGATCACTATTTTTTGTTCATTAAATTGGCTGATTACCCATCATGGCCTAGTCATCTTTTTGGGGCTGGGAGAAGCTAGTGCATTGGTCACCAGGGACAGCCCAGGACCTTGACACCCTCAGTGTAAAGCTCAAGCTTTTTACCAGCGGCTGACGGAAAGGCCACCAGCACGGCCACCTCGGTGCAGGCGCTGGCACCTGGCGATTTTGCTCACAGATGGGCAAGTTCAGAGGGCAGCAGTCTGCAGCCTCAGCTGCTTGTCAGAATCGCCAGGGGCTGCTGTAAAGTCCTGCTGTCCAGAGCATTAGGGCAGTGGGCAACATGCTCATGTGCATACGCCGGGAAAGCTGAGGAACCCACCTACCTAGACGGGGAGCATCCGACAAGATCTCAGGACGTAACAAACACAGAACAAAAAAGGTGACAGCATATACACCGGCTTAGCAAAGTGAAATACTCAGGCTTAGGTCATTTCAAAAACATGCTGCAGTCTCCAAACCAAAATGAAATCCAAATTTATAGGAATGGAGACAGACCATGTTCATGGGTTGAAAAAAGCCAAGTTAGAAACCATGTCCCAAGTGCCACAACTACTGAGATCACGGCAAAATCTTTAGTAGATATAGACAAGGGCATTCTAAAGTTGTCCTAAAATTTGTAAAAAAAAAAAAATTATAGTGACAACTATTTTGAAAATAGAAGTAGAAGGAAATCAGTCTACTGGTTTGCAGACTTCCTGTACAGGTACAATGAGTGAGTATGGTATGACAGAGGGACAAAGAAAAACCATACAAAAATGCCGTGGTTTGTTTTTGTTTTGTTTAGTACGGGAGTCTGAATTGCAGCCTCACACACGCTGGGCAAGCGCTCCACCACTGAGCTATATGCCCAGCCCTTTCAATTATGAGACAGGGTCTAAGTGGCCCAGGCTGGCCTCAAACTTGCAATCTTCCCACTCAGCCTCCTGAGTAGCAAGGCTGACAGGCATTCACTACCACACATGGCAAAGGTGCAAAGCCACCGGGCTGCTGGGGGTGGGGAGGGTGGGCTGCCTTTCTAACGAACAGTGCTGGGACAGCTGGGCACCTATAGACTTTAAAAACCAAAATGCAAGCACTGACCTAAGTCTCGTAATTTATAACCAGAATTAATTCAAGAGTCACAAACACTTAAATGTGAAACATGAAACTTTTAGCTGGGTACAGTGACACACGCTTTAATCCCAGCTACTCAGGAGGCTGAAGCAGGAGGATCCCAAGTTCAAAGCTACCTTGGGCAATTTCATGAGCTCTTTTCTGAAAATAAAAAAATAAAAAGGGCTCAGGATATGTAGTTCAGTGGTCCCTGGGTTCAACCCTTTAGGAAAAATGTAGGTAACATCCAGGATTTAGGACTAGGTAAGGCGTTTTTAAATGTGATGGCAAAAGCACAATGCATAAAAGAATAATTGGTAACTTTCTCAAAATAAAAGGCCCCGTGCAGAGGATGAATACACTGGCTGCACGTTAGCTTCTGTCACTGTGACAAGTTCCTGTGAGCTCCCATTTATAGGAGGAAAGGTTCGTTTGGGCTCATGGTTTCACAGCTTTCGGTCCACGTCCACTGCGGCCCTGCTGCTCTGGGCCACATGCATCATGGCAGAAGCAAAAGGTACAGAGGTGCCAATATTCCCCCAGGACAGCCCCTGGCCTAACCTCCCTCCACCAGTCCCCACCAAGGCAGGGTTCCTGCCGCAGGACAGGGTCCAAGCTTTACCAGTCTTCAAGGGTGTTTCAGATAGAAACCCTGACACTATAAACCCTGATAAAATGTTTGCAAACCAAAAACCCCAAGGCTTGAGTATTTAGAATATAGCAGGAATTCTCAAACCAGTAAAAAACCTAGCCCAGTGTTGGCACATGCTTGTAACCCCAGCACTTGGGAGGCTGAGGCAGGATGATCATGAGCTCAAGGCCAGCCAGCACTGCACAGTGAGACACTGCCTCAAAAAAAAAAAAAACTTCAAAGGTCAAATAATTAGCAAGTAGGTAAAGAACACGGACAGACTGGACACCACTGAGGTGAAAGGGAAAGGTATAGGATCCCTGAGCACCTGTCAGACAGCGAAATGGACAGCAGTGACACCACCGAGTGGCCGTGAGGACCTGGGGGCTGATCACACTACAGCGCAGGGAGGAACGAAAGGGGGCGCAGCCGCGCCAGCTTGGTAGTTTCTTTCGCGCTGGAACACGTCACGATCGCACGACCCAGCAATGGTGCTCCCGCCATTTACCCCAGAGGAAGCAAGCCCCTTTCCACACACACCTCCAGTGGACGTTCACAGCAGCTTTATTTTGAACAGTCCCACGCTGGAAACAACCAGGGGATGATGAGTATTCCGGCAACAGAAAGGGACGAACCGCTGTTACACACAACGACCTGGATGAGCTCCAGAGAACAGAGTGAAAGGCAATCTCAAATGTGATTACACCGTGTGATTCCATTTATACAACTTTCTCGAAATGACAAAGTAACAGAGATGAAGAACAGATTAGTGGGTGCAGGGTTAGGGCTGGGGCGGCTCCGACAGGACAGTCTGGGGAAAAGGCTTGCGGTGACGGTGATGAGACAGGTCACACGGGACAGTGGTGGCAGTTATAGAACTACTTGTGTGCCGACCAACGCAGAACTCCCTGACCACAACCCGCCAGGCCAAGTCCAGGCTCTGACACAGGACTGTCACCGCATAAGACGTAACCATCGAGACACACTGGCCTCGGAGGCCTCTAGCCCTGCAACTTCCTATGACTCTGTCATAATTTCAAACTAAAGAGTTAGGAAAAAACAGCTGGAAGTGCAACTTGGTATTTTAGATTGGCTCCTGCAACAGAAAAAGGACATTACTGGGGGAAAAAAATGGAAAGACCCAAATAAAGTCTGCAGTTAGGAGTATTGCACAAAGGTTACATTTCTAGTTCAGATGTATGTACCAAGGTAATGTAAGATGTTACCATTTGGGAAGGCTGGGTGAAGGGCGTACAGAACTCTTCTGAGAACCTACAACTATTTAAAAAATTAAGCCCCTGTGCCCAGAATTACCAAGTTCCAGGAGTGGGCCCAGGGAGCCCCGTGTTTCATTTTCCAGGTGACCCCAAGGTACAGCCACGGTCTAGAACCACTGTTCTGGACAGAGATGAAGGGAAAGTTCATTTCCCCCGGGGATGGTTCTCAGAGCTGTTCCTGGAGAACAGTTTCTAAGCAAGTGCTTCACTGTTCTTTTGGCCTTGGCCCCATATAGGAGGACCTGAATTCCGTCAAGAAAGGCAGGCTCCAGAACTACTCCTTCCCTCCCCAACCTGTGACTCTCGTCTCTGGGAGGCCCGGATTTCCAACAACTGAACTTCAAGGGAAAATACAGATAAATTAGGAAAGACTGACGCCCCCTCATTCCCGCATCTCAGCACGGGTAGGAACAAGGAAGGGCACAGAACGGGAACCGTCTTCAAAGGTAAGAAGAACTTGGCTTTTCCTTTCTAAAGGACAGGTGTGCAGATGCTCTGGTCACGCCCAGCCACCGCCCGTCCTCTGCAGAGGCCCACGGGAGCGGGACAGGACAGGCACCACCGGCGACTCTGCCTCAGGGGCAGACGACTGACAGATGCAGCCAGGAGGAGCACTCCTCCCACGAGAGACCTCTCAGCACACGATGGATGCTGACAATACTGAGTGGCGACCAAGCCCGGCGAGGGAAGTGAGCTGGCTGCTCAGGGCTCCTCCAAGCCACCGGGGTGGCCTGCTGCTGGTAGGAGGGAACGAGACCAGGGACAGACTTGTGGGAATTGTGCTTCTTTCTGGCTTTGGCACAGGGCATTGTAAGGGAAGCCAGAGAGGACACTGGGGACAAGGCTGCGACCTGGAAACCGGGTCAACGCCGGTGCTCTCCATGGGCTGGGAAGGTGCGGCCAGCAGCAGGGCTCGGCTGCCTCGGAGTCAGGTGTGCACGGGGCTCGGCCACAGGAGGCAGTGACTGCACACGCACGGAGCCTGGCGCAGAGGTATAAATTCACTGCGGTTCACAGCATCGGAGGAGCAGGGCTGGGCCCTGGGGACCAGAGATGATACTGTTCCTGTCGCTCCTTCCGGAACGGTCCGGAGGGCTGGGCTTGGCGACCCCTCTCCGACAGCTCCCGAGAGGTTCCTGGCACTGAGGAGGCCCAGGCCCCCTGTCTGCACGGGCCATCTAAAACACGGCCCAGAGGGACGGGGACAGGGCGGCGCGAAGCTCCTGCTTGGCCCCCTCAGCTCCCTGTGTGCTTGTCCGTTCCAGCTTGGGCGCCCAGCAAGCGGTTAAAGCCCGGGGTTCCGCCCAGGGCTGTCCTCCACCGGGACACTGGGCCTGCTGGGGTGGGACCCTGCAGGAGAGAGGAAAAGGAGCGTGAAGGGCCGCGCCGATGAGGGGGAGGGCCGGTCACTGACCCAGCGCGGGAGCTGCAGGACCAGGCTGACAGACGAGGTAGCCCGGCCCCAGGACGCCAAGTGAGATCCAGGCAGAGCCGGGAGGGGCTGCTTAGGGACACGGCCAGCCTGACTCATCCTCACAAGAGGAAGCCATTCTGAGGACAGATGCCACCCCAGAAAGACAGGACCCCAGGGGGCCCTGGGCGAGAGGGACCTGCCCTGGACGAGCATGCGCCCTGTGCTGGAGGGAAGCTGTGTCCCAAGGCTGAGCAGGTGCTGCCCACCCTGCCTGCCCTCTGGGAAGACGGGCAGTGGCACCCACCCCCACGCCCCAGGACAAACGTCACCTGGCAGAGCTGTCAGGAGCCCCACCAGCAGCGACTGAGCGAGTGAGCGGAGGAAGCAAGCGAAGACGGAAGGGAAGGGACATATTTACCTTGGTGTTTTCTTAAAACAAAAAACGCGCACTAGTCCACAGTCAATTATCAACTGCAGTTTCCAAATGTGCCAAAGAGGGAAAGGTCTACGGGGAAGGCTGAAGGAGCAGAGAGAGAGAGAGAAGAGACGACGAGCTGTTGGGCGGCACCACTGAGGACAGGCGGTGCCGCACATCAGAGGCAGGTCACGCAGGCGGCGTCCCCAGACCCTGTCCCTGGAAAACAGACTGGTGACTGGGCAGCGCAGAGGGCTGGCTCAGAACCTGCAGGGAGGTCGGGGTCTAAAACGTTCCAGCAAAGCGCCCATGTTTTAGGCTCTGCAGCTCACTGGACTCTGTCAGAACTACTCAACTCCACTGTGCTTACAGGCCACCGGACAAACCACCAATCAATCCAGGGCTGATGAAACCTTATTTATACACACGGGCAGCCGGCTGGATCCGGCCCTCGCACCATGGTTTCCCCGGCCCTGCCGGAAGCAGCTGAAAATTCCTGTGCTTTCCGAGCCCTTCAGTGAAGCCCTTCTCTGCCAGGGACTGAGTGACGCAGTCTCAGGGCACGACTAAGCCACTACGCGTGTAGTACCACTGAAGCGCCAAGCTACCGGGGACAGACACGGGCAGATGCCAGCCGGTGCAGGGAGGGAGGGAGACTGCAGGCAAGCTCGCCAGGGTGACAGTCAGGCGCTTGTGGGTAGAACTATCAATGTGACGTCGCAGAGCAGCAGGTAACAGATATGAGAAAACCGCCCACAACTCTGCTACAAACAACTCTCCGGCCCGGTGAGTGGCTGAAGCCTTGAGGGCCTAGAGCGCAGCTCGGTGGCAGAGCACCCACCTAGCACAGGGGAGGCGCTGGGTTCACCTTGGCTCTGTTGTCCTGGACACCTGTCCCTGAGCAGGTCTGGATCTTGGACAGCGCCATGCAGGCTCAGCGGTGCAGGAAGGCCAACCCAAAGGGCTCAGCTCCTGCTGAGTCTTGGCTTCTGAAGCCCAAGTCCCATGTGCCAGTGTGAACTCCTGCATGGGCCCCTCCACAGAGTGGGGAGACAGCCTTGCCAACTGCAAGAGGTATAGCCCCATCTGGGAGCGTGTTCCTTTTGAGAGGGAGGAATCCCCAACCCATCCTGAGTCCAGAGACAGCACTCAGCCCAGCCATACCTGCTGTCCCCTCTCCACTCCCGACAGCCGGTGGCGGAGGGGCTGTCACTGTGCCCTGGGCTGGGGCTTTCTGTCTCTGGCACAGGTGTGTCACCTCACAATTCAGGAAGGACTTTTCTATCACAGACTCATGTCTGAAGGCTCAGGCCTTGGCTAAGGTCCAGGCTGGTGTCCCAGGGAAGTGCAGGGACATTCACCAAGGGAGGTCATGGAAGGATCTGAACGCAGCACCCACAGAAAAAGTGCCCAGGAGGAGCCCATCCCCTCCACAGCAGGCAGGCAGGGCCCTGCAACCTCTCTAGAGCCTGGCATCATCAGCCCCACTCCAGGACCCGACAAGCTGGACACTGCAGCAGAGCTCCGACCCCAGTAACCCACCACCCCACCACAGCACCCATTCCCAGCCCACTGTGCAAAGCTGTTCCCCAGCGTGGGAGCCCCTGATGGGCCAGGCCTGCTCTGCCAGCATGTGCCAGTTCCCACCTTCTGAGCAGGGCCCGCAGGTAACCCCAAGCTTCCTTCTCCAAGTACCTAACCCTAATGCCAGGTGGCCAGGACAGAGTCTGGACCCCTTACCTTCTGCTATCTAATGACACCAGCCCATCCTAGGGCACTCTAGAGAAAGTGCTGGCTTTCTACGCTGTGCATTAAGGCACACTGCTTTAGGGACTGGTGCCACCAGCAAGATGGAAACCAGAAAAGGAGAAAAAGAGAACGGTGCAGGACAGGACAAGGGCAGAGCACGCTGTGTGCAAGCAACATGAGGGGCCGGGTGCACTGCCCTCTGGGTCGCCGACGCTCGGGATGTGCCATGCGGGGCTCACCTGCTGCCGCAGCTGTCTTGTCACCAAGCAGCCTGGTCTGGCTGCCTGGAACGACCTGGAAGTCAGCATTCTCAGGGGATGGTGGCAGGCTCTGGGCCCGGGAAGCCAGGAGTGCATTGAGGTACTGCAGCCGCGTGACCTGGGGGACAGAGGGGAGTCACCCGGCAGGCAGGACGAGAACTGGCCAGATGCAGGAAGACACCTGGGCACATCCCACAGGGCCGACCAGGGCAGGCCTTGCTCTTGCAGCCTCCGGGGCCTCTCGGTGTCCATGCTCTACCCGCACCGCCTGGTGGACACCAGGAAGCAGCCCGGTGGTCACCTTCACCAGCTGCAGGTCTGAGAGGGCCCTCACGGTGTAGTCCGGACAGTAAGTGGAGGAGCGGGTGCCATCAGCAGGCTCTGTTGGCAGGTCATGGCGAGCAGGCTGGCGTGAGGATGCCGGGGACTGTGGAACTATTGAAAGGAATAACCAGTGACTGAGCAGGCCAGCAGGACATTGACAAGGCTGAGGCTTGTCCAAGCCACCCTATAGGGGGAGCGGGGTGGGACTTGAAAAACGGTGAGGACACGGGGGGAGGAGGGGGATACAGATGGGGGGCACAGAGCCAGCACGTGAGAAATCTGCCTGCCTCTCCCGTGTGGGAACATCGGAGGACAGGTGGAGCGGCACTGCAGGGTGGGCTTACCTGAGGACGGTGCCATCAGGGCGGACACGCCGTAGTAGGTGAAGGCCCCGTTCTCGAACTTCAGGCCCTCCTTCCCAATCTCCACCTCAACCCTGCCCTGCGAGGAGGTGGGGAGGGAGAAACAAGCGGAAGTCATCTTTTCCGGCAGAGAGAAACCCAAGGAGAGACCCGCAGCCCCGGTTCCTCAGGGCCGGGAGCCGGGCTATCCCTGTTCCAAGCTCTCCCCGGACTCTGGCCCCGGTACCTGCAAGATGAGGATGAAGTAGTCCACCGGCTGGCTGCGCTGGTACAGGTAGTGGTGTGCAGCCAGGCGGTTGCTCTCGTCAAACTTCACCTCCTGGTTGACGCTCGGGTGCTTCAGCAGGTGCAGCAGGACCTTCTCGGAGACGCGCACAGGGCTGAACACGTCCACCTCTGCCCCGCAGTGGAAAGGACAGTGTCCTCCAGGGCCTGCATGCCCTCAGTCACCAGCCCAGCTCCCGCCGCCCTTGTGGGCTCTCCAGCACGAGAGCCACGTGGGGCTCACCGGGGCCACTGAGGCTGCCTAGCTGCCCCTCAGGTGACTGAGATGCTGCTCACAGGGTCCCAGGGAAGCACATGCTTCTCTCACCAGCAACAGGGACCAGAGTCTCTGTGTGCCTGGGTCGGGCTCCTGACCCAGCCAACAGTGAGAGTGCAGGGACTACCCTTCACCCTTACCTCGGGACAGGAAGCGCTGGGTGGCCAGGAGCAGCTGGGGTGAGATTTTTACTTTGTACTCCTCGTCAGACACCTTGAACAGGGAGAACTCCTCCTTGTGCTTAGGAGGGACAGTCAGGGACGCGGCTTTCTTCCTCATTGTGGCATCTCCTAAGAGGAGTGTGTGCGGGCATCAGTGGCCGAACACACCCAACGAGGGCCCTGCTGCCCACTCCTCCTCCCAAGGCCTAGCAGGAGTTCTGTGGGGACACGGCCAGGGCCCCAGGGACACACACTTGGCCCAGCTCCCTCCACAGTGCCTGGCTGCCATGACTGCCCCATAGCAATCCTGGCACCCAGGACAGCACCGAGAGCAGGAAGCCAGGTGCAAGGGCCTAGTACTGCCTGCTGGGGACGCCCTCGACAGGATGCTTTTGTGTGTGCGCACTGGGAAGAGAAGCCAGGCCTGTGCCTGCAAAGCAAGTGCTCTACCACTGAGCTACAACCTGGCCCAAGGAGTGGGTCCTTAAAGGACACTTGGGTAACACACAGAGGAACCTGAGCCAGAGCAGGCACCAGGGAAGACACAAGGGGAACAGCCTAGGAAGGAAGGAGCCCTGACTGAAGGAAAACACAGGGCGGCCACTAACAGAACCCCAAGCTTGTGCGGGGACTGTAGGCCCCAGAAGCCAGGCCTCTGTCTGCACTCACGGTAGTCTTCAGACTCGTCCATGATCTCGGACTTGATGATCTCCTCGATGACGTCCTCCAGGGTGACCAGGCCCAGCACCTCATAGAAGGGGTCACCCTCGCCCTCGTTGTTCACCTTCTGCACAATGGCCAGGTGCGACTTCCCTGTGGAGAGGGGATACTCATTTATAGCTTTCAGGGCACCCTGCTTTTCCAGCTCTCTGAGACAAGCCAGTCACAAGGACAGGGACTAGCAATGGTGCCAGGAACTAAGTCCAAGGGCCGGGGATATAGTTCAGGGGCACAATCGCCTGCCTAGCAAGTGCAAGGTCCTGCATTCAATTCTTAGTACCAAAAAAAACCAGGAACTAAGTCTACCTCTTTCCCTAGGATCCAATACCAGCATGCTGAGTGAGGCCGCAGAGCCCAGGCACATCCACATGAGGCCCTCGCACAAGACCCTTGCACAGGCCTTGGTGAACTGGGATGTGGCCCTGTGTGTGACTCTGAGCTGTAGGCAGACTCCAGGAATGCAGGCTCTGGGGACAATCCCAGCCTGACACTCTGTGCAGGGCTTTCCCAATTCCCACGGTCACCCTTCTGGGGCTCACCCAGGGTATGGGTAGGTGGGAAGCAGCCATGAAGGATTCCACTCTGCAAGGAAGTGGAGCCGCAGACCGGCACTGTCCCCTTGCTCCTGGGTCTCTCTCCTGTCATCTTCCCACCTGGTTTTATTGGGGACAAGTGACGTGACGCAGAGCCCAGGGCAAAGCGCTGGACAAACTTTAGGAGTTTATGCTGCAGATGGAAATGCTTTTCAACCACCACACTGTACGCGTCTCTGAATGAAACAGTGCACCTGTTGGTAATTTAAAATCTTTAAGTAGCTACATTAAAAACACCAAAAGAAACAGGTGAAATTAAGTTTAGCAGCCTATCCTAAGTAACATAATAAAGTCCAAGTCTCACTGCAACAAGTAATCGTAAGGAAATAGTAATAAGCATCTCACCCTCTTCTTGTACCAAGACTCCAAAATCTGGGGTGTGCCTGTCACTTGCTGCTACCCCAACTCAGACAAGTACCCCACCAAGTGCTCCCGGAACGTGGGGCAGACAGGCCGCTGGACTGGGCTGGTGGGTCTAGGACAGTGTACCGACACACACCCTCCTGTCACCAGTGACAAAGTGAAGGGGGAAGGCGGCCTCCAGAGCTGCACGTGAATGGCAGCTGCTCCAAGAATCTCTGGAAAAGCAAACAAATAAAGTCCTGTTTCTGCGCAAAGCGTCACTTCACCGGTTTAGTGAAAGCAGCGTTCAGGGCGCTGGAACTGCCTTGGACAAACATTAAAGGCAGAAACAAGCACATTAAGTCACCTCCCCACTGCAGGAGGAAAAGGCCAGGGGTCCCCGGAGCACTCGTCTCACACATGCTGAGTAGGGTCACTGGCTGAGACATCCCTAGATCCTCCCACCCCTCGGAGACCGTGCTGCAAATGGCATGCAGGTGCTATCTCCACAAGAGCCACGGCTGCTCCATCACAGAACTCAAACCTGTCAGCTCAGCCCAGGAAGGCCAAGGGTGTGACACACACAGTTCAGGTCAGCAGCCTGTGGCTCCCGAAACCAAAGCTCAGCTTCCGAATGGCCGCCTCCGTCCAGAGAGGCCTTGCCTCAGCTCCTTCCTGAGAAGCTGTCCCTTTGGCAGGTCACCTACCAGAAGGGATTGATTTTTCCCTTCATCTCAAACTGCTGTGAGACAGGCACACATGTCCCCTGGGACCTGCCACACTGGGGTGGCCCAACAAGGAACAGAAGGCAGCAGGGTTCCTGGCAGAATCCCCTGCAATGGCGGCAGGTGATGATTTCAGTACATGGTGTCTGAGGGGTCCACAAGGTGACCAGGCAAGGCAGAGCGGACAGAGAGAAACGTGGCCAGACCACCCCACCCCCAACAGGACTGGCCTGCCCACACGCATGGCAGCTCCACAGGCCGTGGGCAGGTGTGAAAGGCACGACCTGGTGACATAACCAGAAGGCCTGGAAAAGCTCCAGCGTTCGGATTTCACCCGGCAGGCTCCAGGGTACTCCAATTATGGACGGTGGAGGACCCTTTTGTAGTTCTGGTTTTGGTGGCAGTGCTGGGGACTGAACCAATGCCATGAAATGGAGCTGCATCCCCAGCCCCTTTTGGAGACAAGCTGCTAAGCTGCCCAGTCTGGGCTCAAATTTGCAATCCTCCTGCCTTAGCCTCTGGGACTGGTGGGATTACAGACACGAAACACCATGTCCGGGTTTATGTTATCTTTAAAAGTGTAGGGTTTAGTTTCTTCTGCCTTCTCTATTTTTCTTTTTCTTTTTCTCAGACAGGGTCTCGATATGTAGTTCAGGCTGGCCTTGAGTTCACTATGTATCCCAGGCTGGCCTCAAACTCATGCTGATCTTCCTCCCTCATCCTCCCCAGTGCTGGGATCACAAGGGTGCACCGCCACACCTGGCTTCCCTGTTATTCCTGCTTTTGTTTTTCCGTAGTGCTGCGGATGGAAGCCAGGGCCTCATGCACAATATAGGTAAGTGAGTGCTCTACCACGGAGCTGCATGCTCAGCGCATTTTGTCATCTGCTGTGTACTGACATTCCGGGCTGCACTCCTCCCACCAGTCTGAGCAGCTCTGCCTCTCCTCAGCAACAGTCACCTGGCTTCTGATAAGACAACCAGCAGGAACTCAGCTGGTCTGTTTGCAACACCCCACGCCCAGCCCAAACCTTTCTTTGCTTGGAGAGTCTTGCCAGGGATTGAAGAGGTGGCACTCGGGTCCATGCCTCTACAGAAAATACAAGTCACTCAGCACTCGGAAGCACTCTTCCTTCTGATGTGTTCGAGAAGTAACTGCTGTGTCACCTTGGGTCTGTGCCAAGGGGCACCTCTCCCCAGGTCACAAAGGAGCAGAGCCCCCGAATGATGGACTCCAGCTCCAGGAAGTTTGTGGGCACCATGGCCTCAGACACTTGGCAAAGAGATGGGGAGGGGATGTGAGTCCTGCGCCGAGAAGACTGCAATGAACCGTTTGCCCATGAGGACTGTACTGTATGAAAAGGGTCAAGACAGCAGAAGCTAGGCATGGTGGAGCACACCTGTAATCCCAGCACTTGGGAAGCTGAGACAGGACGACTGTGGCCAATTTGAGGCCAGCCTGGGCTACAGAGTGAGTTCAAAGTCAGCAAGAACTACACAGCGAGGCCTTGTCTCAAAAAACCAAATCAAACCAAAAGGAACAGGACTCACACCAGGAAAAATGCAGAGATCTGCCAGAGGCTGCAGAAAGAGAGATGTGAGAGTTCCAGGATGTCCTCGGAAAGGCATGGGTACTCTGCCCCCAGGGATGAGGAAGTCAAGGGCACTAATGGGGCCCCCACTGGACATCCGGCTACAGAAATGGGGGCAGTCAGGCAGCTTCTGGGCACTCAATCATTAAATGCCCTCCAGCGCCAGGCTGCCCACACCTGTCTACTCTCAGCCCCTCGGAGGCCGCCACTCAGGAGCAGGAGCGCCCCGCACGGCAGCCTTCCCTCTCTACGACACCTTCCCTGTTAACAAGTCAACCCAGCCCCACTCCATGCCTACCCTACAACCTAGGAACAGGGGACACCTCCCCAGCCACACCTCCCTGCCACACCTGCCAGACACCTGTCCACCACACCTCTCCTCCACCGCCATGTCCTGCTGTCCTGTCCAGCCACCAACCCACATCTGCCCTGGTAAAGTCAGGGGCATCCTGGTGGTTGCCTCCTTTGCAGGTCCCTCACCTTCCTTTGGGAAGTGGTCTCTTCCCTTAGCTTCCAGGGCATCCTGTCTCTTCCTGCAGCTTCTCCGGGCTCCTGGCTACACCTTACGCACTTGTGCTGGGCGGCCAGCAGGGTGTCAGACTCTGCTCCACTCCCGGCGGGCTCCAGGGGCTTGCATGTTACACCAGCTGCCTGCTAGGAATCTGCCTCCTAAGACTCTGGGCCGCTCCCTGTCTTGGTTCTCAGGAAGGGCAGAAACCTGGGCCTCATCCTCAGCTCCCCGCTCTCCTACCACAGCCCCTCAGCCAACCAGCAATGGTCCCTATTCCACCCCCTGTTGGCCCCCAAGTCTCTCCCCAGGCCACTGTGTGACCTGGCCAGCTCTCAGCTGGGCCCCTCACCACTGTCTGCAGAAACAAGCTGGCTGGGGCCACGCTGCCCACAGCCCTGGTGATCGAGTTCCAGCCCCACATGCAGCCCTCAAGTCCCACAGTCCTGTCCCCCTACCCGTCTTATCACTGTGAGCATCTTAATGCTTCCCACGCAAGATCCTCACCAGCCCTAGGCTCAGGCTCACCTGCCACATTTGACATAAAGACTTGCCAGGCAGTGGGGAGAACACAAAACCCCTTTGCCATCTTCATCCTAGACATCCTGAATCTCAGATCTAGACAGGGGCAGCCCTTCCACCACTACCGCCTGGAATCACCCGCAGTGCCCACCCGTAGGCAAAGAACACCAGAGCCCAGCTGAAACTAGACATCAGAGGCAACATTTTCTTAAGGAACCCAAAGACAGGCAGGCTCAGGGCACCAAAGGGACCACAATGGTCTCCGTATTATTCTCCTGAGGAGGAGGAAGTCTGGTGTCCATTCTGGACGATGTGGAACCTGCACTTTGGGGTCACTCCACGGTGAGCAGACATCTACCCCAGTGCAGGGGCAAAGACTGCTCTACTAGCCAGGATCGCAGCCCCTGCTTCCTTCCCACACCGCTTTCCCCAGCTCCTTTCACCCGCTCTTGGGCCATCTCTATACCAGCAGCCAAGGTCTTGAGCAAGAGGGGCGGAGCAGCTGTCCCAGGGTCTTGGAGCCCAGAGGCCGCAGGGCGGAACAGAACCCACCCAGGTGACTCCAGGGCCACAACGCTGGCTGCCACTCCAAGGGCTACCATGCTTGCGGATGGAGGCAAGCCAGATGGCACACTTAGCGCCAGGTGAGCCTCCTTCCTGCTCCAGGCAGGGGCTCACAGAGCAGCTCCATCCGCACCTGGAGCCAGCATACTTCCCAATTCTCCGTTTCCCGTTCTGTAGCTGTCAGGGTCGATCCACACAGCACCCCCGCAGCTCAGGGCTGTGCAGCAGGCCGTGCGTCTAGGAGCCTGCAGGCAGGAGTCACGCCCCCAAGGAGGACAACTTCGAAGAACCCCAGCCTCCAGCTTTGCCAGCAGAGACAGGGCAGAGTGGCTCAGACAAAGCAGGGCAAAAGGACAAGGCAAACATGCAGAGTTAAGGGTGAACCTGGGAGACCTCACTGAGGTGATTAAAAAGAAAAAGAAAGGAAGGAAAAGGGAAATTAAACCAGGATCCATAAAGTTGTTTTTGGCAAAACCAAAGCGAAAGTCCTGTCTCTTTATGAGTCACCCCCTCCTCAGCAGTAAGGAAGGCAACAACCACGCAGGGACCGCAAGTCCGACTAATCCGCGACAAACGTGCACAGGTAATGGTGGCTGGCTGTCCCGAGACTACTTTTTTTATCTTTCTAGTTTCTATCCACGAGCCCCAGGTGCTCAAAAGTGGCCCGGGGAGAGACGGCTGGAGGGCCGGGCCAAGTAGAGGTCCCTTCCCCGAGGGGCTACGCCAAAGGGGGGTAAGGTGTTTCTTCCAATAGCACTGTCTCCGACACCCTGGGAAGAGCAGTCTCTAAGTATTTCAAAACCTCGTTCCCAGGTGCATCACCTTGCGGGTCTCACCGCCCTTTCCATTTCCCTCACCCTTTCTCAGGGGACTGCACAGGCATCGCCCTGCCGTTACCTCGCTTGAACTCCTCCAGAACGGCGTCCAGCTTGGTGTCGTTGAAGACGAAGTGGAGTGGGTGATTGTAGAAGCGGGTGATGGTGCTGAGCGGCGTGCAGTCCTCGGGGTCCACGAAGGCCAAGTCTTTGAGGTAGAGCATGTCCACGATGTTGGAGCGCTCCTCCTCGTACACAGGGATGCGCGTGTAGCCGCTCTGCATGATGCTGGCCAGCACCCCGAAGTCCAGCACGGCGCTGGCGTCCAGCATGAAGCAGTCCTCGAGCGGCGTGAGCACGTCCTCCACGGTGCGGTAGCGCAGCACGCCCTTGCTCAGGTCGCCGTAGGGGTCGCCGCCGCCGCGCGCCAGCTCCAG